GAAGAAAAGGTCAAGTTTAAGAGACACTCTCTATGCTGCAGGGGAACCCGAGTCGGAGTTCTGGCTGCTTGCAGGGTTACAGATAAGGAAGAGAGTGAGGACATAGAGATCATGGAAAGATCAGAGGAAATAGTACAGAAAGACAAATCCTGGCCCCCTTCCCAATTCTGCATACCCCAACACTTCCCTAATTTAAAAATTTTCTTACTTAACGACAGGCAAACATAACTCAGGGAATTGACAAACATTTTGAAAAATTAGAAGAAAAAGCAAACCATGTACTGAGACCCCTGGTTTTCCCTATTCAATAGCCAAGTTCTCTGTCACAGCCAAGCCACCTGGACCAGCTGCTTCTCTGCCAGAGTTTGGCTGTTTATAGGGCAACCGATATGGTGATCAACTGAGAAAAGTGATTTAAGATAGACACCAATGCAGCACCTTCTGACTCCGTGCAGTTTTCCTCTTCCCCATGTTCTCTCCATGCTCTCCCAGGTCCCATTTTGCCTCTCCAAAAAACAAAACGGATCCACAGCAAACAGCTACTCTTTCCAATGGAAGCTTTACTGGGGAAGGCTAAGTGGCTCTCTCCTGCCCTCAAAGACCCCATCTCATTTTTTCCTGGAAGTTAGACACATCTTTGGCTATGCTCAAATGATGACTTCCAAATGTCTTTTAAGTGTCCAAAATAAAAAGGACGGAATGGGCATTTGGTGGCCGTTATAGTTCCCAGAAACTTTCCCCTAAAAACAGATTTTGAAGGTATTATTTGGCCATCATTTTTGTCTTCTAGTTCGGGTCCCAGTGTCTGTTATGGGACTAGCTAACGGTGGGAGTTTATGACAAAGTAAGCACCCTCCCCCCCCACCCAATACCCTTCAAAGGCTGCTCTCAGCAAACGCTGGAAGGCAAAGTAAGCACGGCTCTCACACAAGGCAAGCCATGCAAGAGGCCGTGCTGTCTACCAGCAAATACCTGTTGAGCACCTGTTTTGTGCCACATACAGTGCTAAACACGGGGCAATCAATGAACAAGACAGACACAATCTCTGCCCGCCCTATCAACGCAGCAGGAAGCCATTTAGAGCACAGACCAGAATGAGGGCAAATGAAAATCAAGGCTTTGGGAACTATAAATGTGATTTAAACATCTGCAACATTTTTAAAAATAGAAGACATACAAATACATAAATAATTTGAGATCTGTAGAAGCTCGACAATATCACCTTGGAATAAGGATGGTAACCTCCAAATCTACTGTGAAACTGTATTTTTTTTAAGAATACTACACACTGTCCTATAAATAGGTAACCGTTGGCCAGGCAGTATCTCTAGACCATCTTATTGTCCAAATTCCTAATACAGCACCACAATCAATCCTTAAATTCTGAAGAAAAGATGGTTTTCAGAAGTTGTCCCTCCCTAATAGAGCAACAGTATGCTTCAGAACCCAAAGCTACATATTTCCAGATGAACTTTTAAAAAACGTCACCTGATTCCATTAGTGCACATTACTTAAGCCATGGAGATCAGCCTCTAGCCCATCCAACAGGATTTCCTGTGATGGTATAAATATTCTAACTCTGCATTACCGTCCAATTCAGTAAGTCATTACCCATACATATGTGGTTGCTGAGCACGTGGAATGTGGCTAGTGTGACTGAGGAACTGAATTTCTCATTTCATTTCACTTGAATTAATTTAAATTGAGATAGTCACGTGTGGAGAGTGAACAATACAAATGTAACCTTAAACTGAAAGTGATTCTGTGAGTGGCAGGTTAAAAAAAAAAAAAAAAAAAGTTCCCTCCCTTTGGATTAATTTACTCTAAATTGGGAAATTATTTTAAAACAGAAAAAGTCAGAAAAATCTCTGTATTAACAAGACGGTGAATGAATAGCAACCTATAGATTAGTGCCTGAATTAAATAAAACTCAGAACTGCACTTTCCCTCACTGTCCTGGCTGGATAAGAAAGCGAAACAACACATATGTGGTTAAAATATGCGTGGTTGTTTTTAAAATTCAGTGGTGATTATTTTTTTTTAAAGATTTTATTTATTTATTTGAGAGAGAGAGAATGAGAGATAGAGCGCACGAGAGGGAAGAGGGTCAGAGGGAGAAGCAGACTCCCTGCCGAGCAGGGAGCCCGATGTGGGACTCGATCCCGGGACTCCAGGATCAGGACCTGAGCCGAAGGCAGTCGCTTAACCAACTGAGCCACCCAGGCGCCCTTCAGTGGTGATTATTAAAAGAAACTAATCCGAACTCTGTACACTTAAATTAGTCGTTTTTAAAAGATGTTTTCTTTCATGGTTTGATAATGATTGTTCACTCGTGTACTTAATGCCTACAATATGGCAGGCACTGTGCTTATGGGGAATTATTCTCTTAATATACCACAGCAAAAAATATTCCTCAAATAACCATACTTAACATGATGCATTTGAAGTGATTTAATTTCCAGCAACCTCGCATATAATTGCTTCATTTTTGACTTATAATATAACCAAGGGATCACTTTTTGGATTTGAGCATGAGACTAAAGCTCAAGTATATTACTGCTTTGAAGTGCTAGCACATACCACCAGAAAATGAAAATAACATTAAAATACCTTGTTAACAGGTGACTAACATATATTACAAGTATCTAAATGATATGTGTGAATTTTTGCAGAAGACATTTTTGATGGAAATGATTTTCCTGAAATGGAATGTAACCTAAGACTTCCGAAGAAGTCATCAGAAAGACTTTTTTGATCATATCAACTTTTATTGCAGTATAATTGACATATGCCATTATATAGAAAGATTCTGATTAAAATCTGTCTTGCTTAATTGTACAGAAAATTGATTTTAAATATGAACGTGAAAATTATTTCTGAATGCTTGGGGTTTGGGAAGGTAATTAATTCATTCTTTTATTTTTCCAGCTTTACTGACATAAAATTGACAAAAAACAAAGCATGAGTGTAAGGTGTACAATGCATTGATGCACTTACATATTGCAAAATGACTACCACCATAGTGTGAACTAAACACCTCCATCACATCACATAATTACCATCTCTTTTTTGTGGTGAGAGCATTTAAGATCTACTCTCTTAGCAACTTTCAAGTATATATACAATATTATTAACTAGAGTCACCATGCTGTACATTAGATCCTCAGAACTTGCTCATCTTCTAACTGGAAATTTGTACCCTTTGTCTAACACCTCCCCAGCCCCTGGTAACCATCGTTCTACTCTGTTTCTATGAGTTTGGCTTTTGTAGATTCCACTTCTAAGTGTATCCTACAGTATTTGTCTTTCTCTGTCTGACTTATTTCACTTAGCATAACATCCTCAAGGTCCATCCATGTTGTTCCAAATGGCAGCATTTCAGAAGGTAATTCATTCATTCTTTTTTTTAAACCTTTTTTTTAAAGATTTTATTTATTTATTTGACAGAGAGAGACACAGCGAGAGAGAGAACACAAGCAGGGGGAGCGGCAGGCAGAGGGAGAAGCGGGCTCCCCGCTGAGCAGAGAGCCCGATGCGGGGCTCAATCCCAGGACCCTGGGATCGTGACCTGAGCCGAAGGCAGACGCCTAACGACTGAGCCACGCAGGTGCCCCGCTAATTCATTCTTTCAACAAACATTTACTATGAGCCTACAATGTGCCAGGCACCGTGCTTGACACCAAAAATCATGACATTCTTCCTGATGGGAAACCAGTCCAGGTAGCACATCAAATTACGCCTCGGTAAAAACATTATCATTGTTTCACAGACGTATTTGGATCAACTGAGTGACACTACCAATTCCAAGTATAGACTACTGAAATCTTCCTTTCTCCGACTTGCATACGGATGTAAGCACAGCAAACAGCAATATATTATACCATATTTCCGTTCTACCTGCTAGGCTGACACGACTGTATTTTCCTACGGGCCACCATATACGTATAGATACACAAGATATACACTATACCAACAAAACTGGTTATATAGTCATTGAAGAACAAAGGCTCTAAAATATTTATTGGGTCACTCCGATTGGGCCTTGCTCTAAAAGTCACAATCAAATAAGATCCTGACGTGATCTAAGTAAGTTTTCAAACAATAGAAAACTGTATACAAGGTAGAAACCCAATTTTGCCATGTGATATGTATACATACCTGCGAAGGAAAAAAATATATGTAACAACTTCACTCAAATCTCTGAGTGCTAAGATTGCAGGTGATTTTTATTTTATTTATATGTTTTCATATATTCGACCTGTCCACAACACCCATACACTACATTTGTAATCAGTAAAAATTAGTTATGTTAAAGGTCATTCTTGTAACTATTCCAAAACTGGTGTCTAGTGTAAGCCTGCATAAGGCCTCACATAAGGAAATGGGGATTAACTACATGTGTGATTTTAGGGGGCTGGTGCAGAAGGCCCAGGGGCAACCCAATTAGCTAATGACTGGAAGCTCTTTAAGAAGGAACAAAGACTTGCACCGTCTAAAGTTAAAGTTTAAAATGAATATTCCTGGAGGCGGGGGGTGGGTGGTCACTGTGACGTGTTCCCACCAGGATAGAAGCTGAGAAAGGTGGCTTGTTCCAGCTCTAAGTCCTAGTTAGATCACAGGGTAAATACAATATTGCCTTCTGATGACTCCACAGAACATGTCTGTTTAAGCATTGGGAAACAAACATTTAGAGAACTATTACTGAATATCATGTAATTTTGAAAAGTCACAATTTTTAATTATGAAAATAGTACAATATTCTTTGTAGAAACTCCAGAAAATAGGGAAAAGCTGAGGAATAAAACAAGTCATCTATAATCCCATCACCCAGAGGCAATCACCATGAGCACTTTGGTATATAACCTTCTCACAATTTATTCTAGTCAAATGTGTGTATCTGCTTTTTCACTTAATATTTTATCCTGGACATTTTTCTTCTGTCATTAAATATGCTCAGTGACCCTCCTTCCAATGACTGCCTAATATTACCAATGGCTTACCTGTATCAGAATGACTGTAAACATTATTATTGTACCTACCATAGAGTTAACATCATAAAAAGAGATTCAAATGGATCTGGTATTTGAAAAAACGAGCCAAGGGATTTTCTGAATTAGTGATCTCTCCTGGGTCTTACCAACATCAGGATCTTGATTCTAAAAATGATTTTGTTTTGCTCCAATCCCTAAAAACACCCATATCGTGCACAACAATAAATCACTCACATATTTTCCAAAATAAGGTCTTTGGTTTGGAAAACTGCAACTCCTAAAGAAATGTTACAGAGTAAACCATAGCAGGCCCTCCAAGCCAGGCTCTGCTTGTCGTAACAAAGCAAGTGGATCACAGTGAGTTCCCTTAAAAGAATCACTAAAATAAAAGAAGGGGGGGAACTATCCTGAGTGCAAACTTCAGCTTCCGAGCAAATTAATCTGTTCACCTTCCAGATTAAAAAAAAGAGAGAGAGAGAGAGAAAAAACTCCTGTGATTTTTGTGAGAAAATTTTAATTCAGAAGCTCCATAAAATTACATTTACAACATGGCCTATATTTGCTAAGCTAGAGCTCTGAAAATTACTTTATTCAGCAAAGTAATCATAATTCGTTTGAAGTGCAAGAGGAGAACATTCATGGAAAAATTCGCGATTTCGGCTTAAGAGAAAACTCAGTCCCCAATCATCTTTGATGGTTTGGAGATCCTTTCCTTACCTGCAAGGCAGCTTAGGATCAGAAAGACCTTCCAAAATGCGAACACCATTGTGTCAATGTTCGTCGAGCGCAGCCGAGGGCCGGTTGCTTGCCTGGGCTAGGCTGAGTCTCAAACTGCCTCCTTCAATCACACCGAGCTTGGCCAGGCTTATCTGCAGGCATCATGAAGCAAACAGCCTCTTCGGGCTTACTTATTGGGTACAGTCCTTTCTCAGAGCAGATTTGTGTTTCTTTGAAACACTTTTCATGGGGCGTGTTTCCTTTGATATATTTGCTACTGTGTTAATAATAAACCCATGCATTTAAATTCTTCAAGCTCTTTGTACACAGATTCTCTGAGTTTTAGCGTTTAAAATCAATCTTATTAAAAAGTTAAACTTGGGGGGATATACAGTTGGAAGTGAGCCTATACAAATAAAAGCCGACAAGGCTAATTAATTTCAAATATATCCATCGAAGCCTTCCAGCATGGATTCACCAACCTCCTTTCACAAATTAGGTTAGTAAATTGGTGCTCTAAGATTTTCTCAGGAGACAGGGTTCACAGGAAGGACACAGGGGTTAGGAAGCAAAAAGCATGCACTTCTGTGTGAACAAACTCTGGACACGCCACATTTTTTTGAAGCCGTGGTGGTTCTCACCACTTTGGCAGTAGAACGAATAGCGTGCTTTGGTCTTCCTGGTTAGAAACCCTATAGCATTCCCCCAACCGAACGCTGTGCCACCAGGTGAGTGAATAAATGCTTTAAGACTTCTATTGGATGAGTCTCAACTTTTGCAGAATTATGAGTAGATGTAATGGGATTTCTTTGGAAAGGGGGTTCCCTAGAAGGGAATGGCAGGTTGCCTTGGTGAGAAGCCTTGCTAACAAGAGTTCCTGTCGCGTTTAAGTTGAGAGGCATGAAGGCCTTCTCGGGTTCTTCCTAGGCAATCTCTAAATCCTGCTGTTTTCACCAGTGCAATGGCTCTCAGATCTGTCCTTTCACCAACCTGCTGCTTCAACCCCAGGTTCTTAGGTCCGATGTTCCTACCCTGACCAAGCATCTTCAGTTAACACCACGATGGACTCCTTCCAACAAGACCCGAGTCCTTAATCGGGATTCCCAGCCTTCCAAGACCTGACCGTCCCCTCATCTGAACTTCACCCACCTGAAAAATGCTGTTGCAATTTCTTGCCTCACAGCGTTCAGTCACACGAAACATGGGCATGCTACAGTGACGTGTTTTATGAACTTTTTTTTTTTAAGTTTTCATTGATTGAAGTAATCTGTACACCTGGCGGCAGGGCTCAAACTCACAACCTCGAGATCAAGAGTCGCATGCTCTTCCAACCGAGCAAGCCAGGCACCCTGTTTTATGAACTTTAATTTACAGGAAATGTTTGAGCCCCACTCACCTTAGCCAGGCCAGTTTCCCACTGCTTCCTGATTCCTTCCACAGCCTTTCCTGTCCATGCTCATGGCTGGTGCCAGACCTTGGCTCCAGGTGAATTCCAACACTGCTTAGAATTTTCTCCTCTATCTTCTTGCTGTCTAAGCAGATTCATAGGGCAGATCAGTAATGCTGTCTTATATGAAAAGCTTTTTTTTTTTAATTTTTAACGTTCACCACCCCTCTCTGGGCTCCACTTTGAATAGATTTGCATTGTACTTAGAACCAATACACTACAGTTGGCACTTGATTGTTTTCCAGTAGTTTCCTATTTATTAACTGGGTCTCCCCTAAATCCAATAGCTGTGAGCCCCTCCAGGACAGAGACAAAGTCTTATAAGGCAGCCCCCAAGTTAAGAAAGGCTATATACCAAAATGTACTGGTAAGCCCATTGACTGAATCTAAGAGCACACATTCCTGCCAAAGCAGGATGCTTTAAATGGAAGACTCACTCCCAGACTTATGAGGCACATAGTCTACCACTGGTGTGAATTCTGGGTCCTGGGCCATACAGAGCAGGGGAAGAGGAGAAGGAGCAGCAGGGGGCCGAAAAAGAACATTCCTTTCCCTTCCTAGGACATGTGTTGAGCACAAAGCAACATCCCCCCCCCCGCAAATAACTACTGTATGCTTTTGACACCCACCTTCTTTTCTGTCCCCAACTCTCATGGCCCCCAGGACCCTTGAGTTCCTAGCTTGCCCTAAGGAAGTGTCTTACTCACCAGAATAACTCACGCTCCAAGACTACCTTTTCCTTTCTAACCTTACGCCTCCCAGAAATACCCCTCTTCTGTATAAGCAGACAATCAGCTCCATGTTAGGAAGGGAAAAAAATTGCCATGAACATTCTTCAACCGGTTTACACTATTGAAAAGAGAATGCTTGCCTCCTCCACCCCAAATGAATCTCCCACCAGGAGTATCAGGCAATGCAATAAAGAGAGATGGTCTGAGGGAGGAGGTTTTGCCGAGGAGGGCAATTTGGAGGGCAGCCCTCTGGAGGTCCACATCAACTATTCTCAGCCTTGGCCCTGCCTTGACCTCTGAATCCATTAAGTCTCCAAAAGATCCATAAAAGTAGTACTGGCTTTTCCAGTGGTGAAGAGCTGAAACAGGGAAAGAGGTTTCTAAGTCAGGTGTTTTTTAGTCAAGGGCTTCCTATGTCTCCTTCCATGCCCCACAGGTGAGCATATAATTCATCATTAAACCTAGGACACTTTTGGGAGTGAATAGGCTGCTATTGGCATTACATGGGACAGACGGTGTAAATCATAACAGTCCCAGGTGAACTTGGATGTCTGGCCATCTGCTCATGGTGGAATGCTAAGCACAAAGCAGGGGCTAAGTAAAACCTTTCTAATTAATCCGCTACTGTCCAAGCTAGCTGGCCCTGAAGTGGATGGGGTGGAGAGTATGACTTAAGGCTATTGCCAAAACCCATCTGCACACAGACTATCTCAGACAAAAACAGAACTCTCTAGAACATTTAAGTAAAATGCCTACATTGCTGCTTACATCGCACCCAATTGGGACAGGAAGAATTCTGTCAAAACAAACTCAAAGAGATCATCTAAGTTCTCTTCGGTATTGAATTTTGATGTTATTGACAAAGAAGTGGGTCATTGACTAGCACATGAAGTACTGTTAAATATGCTTCATATTTTTACACGGCTTTATAACTTTTGAGCTGCTTTTCCATTTTATCTTCGCAACTGACTAAAATAAACAGGGGAGGAATTATCTCCGTTCTCTGTATAAAAAACAGAGGCTCAGAAACGTTGTCTTTCCCAAGGCCACAGAGCACGCATTAGATGCTGTCCCTCCCGTCACAGTGACACAGTGGGACTGTCACGTATCAATCATGCTACTGTTTCCAGGAGTCTTTGGGAACTTTCAGAAATCTGCAGCCTCTGACTTATTTCTCATTTTTGTTAACTTAAAAATTACAAAAATAACACATTTTGATTGTAATGGGATTTCAAAGAACAAAGAAGAAGTACTCAGGGAATAAAAAGAAAGCCTCCATTCTCTTAACCACGGGTGTAATTGCACGCCATGCGCACAAGCAATGGGAGTTTCATGTTTTTCTCAGAGCTTCTGTGAGTTCTCTCTCTCTCTCTCTCTCTCTCTTTCACACACACACACACACACACGCACATGGTGGTGGTTTTTTGAATCATAAAGGTAATCATACTATGCATATCATTCGATAGTTTTTTTTCCCCCTTGAAAAAGCATTTTTATTGTCTCTTTGGGTCAGCATGTGCGACGCCACCTATAGAAGCTACCTTATGTGTTCGAAGGCTGCAGAGTATTTCAATGTACAGATGTACCACAACTCACTTAACCATTCTCTTGTTGGTCAATTCTTGCATCGCCTTCAGTTTGTCACTACTATTAACAATGGTGAAATGGATGTCCCTTTGCCTACATCTCCGCTCACTTGCATGATTATTTCTGTAGATTAGGTACCTAGAACTGGAACTGCTGGATTAAAGGAGACGGACGCTTTAAATTTTGGTAGAGTCTGCAATATTGTCCACCGGAAATCCTTTATAAATTGACACCTCCATTAAGAGTGTATGAGAGTGCCTGTCTCTCCACACCCTTGTCAATAGTGAAAAGTATGCCATTTATTTTTACCAGTACCATGGGTGAGAACTGGTGTCACATTGCTGTTTTAATTTGTAGTTCTCTGGTGAGGCTGAGCCTTTTTTCATAGGTTTGCTGGCTTAATTGGTGTTCCCTTCCCTGTGAATTGCCTATTTATGGCCTTAGGACACTTTTCATTGAATTATGTCTTTCAGTATCATTGAAGTGCTCCTTATACATTAGGAATCTTAATTTCATACCCCATAATTGAGGATTAATTGATTGATTGATAATCAAGAATTAATTAAAAAGGAATTAAGTTTGGTGCATATATTATAAATATTTTCTTCCAGCCTAACTTTTTATTAAAAAATTTTACATCTTCCACCATAAAGAAAGTTTGCATTTTGTTGTAGTTAATCTAGCAATTTTTTTTCTTCGTAGCTTCTGAGTTTCATGTCTTCCTTAAGAAAGCCTTCCCTGATCCCAGACTATAGAAATGTTAATTTATATTATTATATAATATATATTAATATATAATATTATACTTTGTCTTAATGCTTCTATAATTTTGTCCTGCCTTTCAGTTATGGCAACTCTGTGCTTCCAGTTGCTCAGGCCAAAAGCCTTGGTGTCATCCTTGATTCCTCTCCTCCCCTCATGTACCACATCAAATCGTCAGCAAATTCTTTTGGGTCCATGTTCAAAATAGACCCAGACTCTGATGACCTTCCCCACTTTCACTGTTACCACCCTGGGCTGAGCTGCCACCATCAATTGCCAGGCTCACTGCAATGGCTTCCTAACTGGTCTCCCTGTTTCTTCCTTTTCCCCTTACAGTCTATTCTCATCACAGCAGCCAGAATGATCCTTTTACATGTAAGTCGGATCCCATCTCACTTTTGCTCAAGATCGTCCAATAGTTCTCAGTTTCTCTCACAGTAAAAGCCAAAGTCTTTAAAGTAGCCTATGGGGCACCTGGGTGTCTCAGTCATCTGTGTTTGACTCTTGGTTTCTGCTCAGGTCATGATCTCAGGGTCCTGGGATCCAGCCCTGGGTGGGGCTCCACACTCAGCGTAGAATGTGCTAGAGAGTCTCTCTCTCCCCCTCTGTCTGCCCCTCCCCCCTCAAATAAATAAATCTTTAAAAATTGTTTTAAAGTTGTTCGGAAGACCCTATAAAATGATCTACCTCACCCCTTCCACCACCCGTCCAACCTACCTCATCTCCTACCACTCCTTCCCTCTCACCCTGATCCAACCACACTGTTCTTGCTGACTCTTGAATAAGCCAGGCACGCTCCCACCTTCGGGGGCGTTTACACTGGTGGTTTCCTCTGTCTGTGACCCTTTAAATCCAGGTATCAGCAGGTCCAACTCACATCTTCTTCAAGTCTTCGCTCGAATGTTAGTTTTCAACAATGCTGCCCCTGAGTACACAGTTTAAAACTGCAGATTTCTCCACTCCAGCCCTCCCAATCCCCTACTGCCTTTTCCTTATTACATAGCATTCATTACCTTCCAACATACTATGCTGTTTACTTGTGGTTAACTTTTCCACCCAGCTAGAATGTAAATTTCTCTCTCTCTTCTTTTTAAGATTTTATTTATTTATTTGAGAGAGAGAAAGCGAGAGCAGAAGTGGGGGGTGCAGAGGGAGAGAGAGAAGCAGACTCCCCACTGAGCAGGGAGCCCCGACACAGGGCTCAATCGCAGGACCCTGGGATCATGACCTGAGCAACACAGGTGCCCCTAGAAAGTAAGTTTTACAGACTGAGCCACCCAGGCGCCCCTAGAATGTAAGTTTCAAGAGGACAGGGATTTCCGTCTATTTCATTTACTATTTACTCCAAGGGCCTAGAACAGTGCCTTGCACACAGTAGGTACTCAGTATTTGTTAAATGAATGGATTTGGGAATCTGAACTTAAGCCATTCAGATTTGATTTTTGTGTATTGTGTGAGATCAGTAGAAATGTTTTTTAAATGTCCTAGTGTCCTAAATAGGAACAGATCATTACCCTTTGAGGGAATTTGGTCTTTGGAAATAGCTAGGTCATTTCAGACTAGTTTTATTAAATAAGGTAGGTGTTCAAGTTCATCAAAATGCTGTTTTGTGCCCAAGAAATGAGGCATAGGGGCACCTGGGTGGCTCAGGTGGTTAAGCGTCTGCCTTCAGTTCAGGTCTTGAGCCCAGGGTCCTGGGATGGAGCCCCACACTGGGTTTCCTGCTCGGTGGGAAGCCTGCTTCTCTCCCCCCCTCTGCCTGCTGCTCCGCCCTGCTTGTGCGCACTCTCTCTCCCTGTCTCTCAAATAAATAAATAAAATCTTAAAAAAAAAAAAGAAACAGGGCATAATTATAAAGTAATGAGCCTGCTGTCCTTGTGGGGCTTGGGAACCAGCTCAGTCGGCAGTCTTGGGTTTTCAAAAGACAGACTGAGACCATTCTTACTTATGGCACCAGCATGAGATCGAGACAGAGAGACAGATTGGGGAGTAAATTTTTTCATATATATTTTTTAATCCCTGAAGTAGTCATCATGGGAAAATCAGAATTTACTGGACTTCCTTCTACATATTTTATGGTTTTGTAGGGACTTTTAAAATTCCGAATTACGTATAGAAGGGCATAATCTAGTCAGTGCTTAGAGTCTAAAGACTTTAATTCATTCCTGTTGGAATGGTTCCAAAGAAAGTGTTTCAAACATTCTTTGTGCAATCACAGCACTATTGAGTCCTCATTGCTCCTTCTGACTCCCTGCCGGGCAACTCCACTTCTATGGCCCACTGGCACCTCAGAGCAACTTCACACATGTCATCCTCTGGTCACCAAACCTGTGCCACTGCCCAACCACTGTTGCTGCACCCCCCTTAGCTCTTCACTGGGGTACTCTTTGACTCTTACTTTGCTCACTCTGCCATTCCAGAAGGACCAGATCCTACTGAGAACTTCTCTTCAGCCCATCTTTTCTTTTCCATCTCCTGAAGCTTTGATGAACAACAGTTTTATCAGCAAGGAGGATGACTGGCAGCCATTTCCCAACGGGGAACTGGTAAAAATAAATAAATAAATAAATAAAATGGCTGCTCACGAGGGGTGCCTGGGTGGTGCAGTCCGTTTAACGACCGACTCTTGGTTTCAGCTCAGATTGTGATCTCAGGGTCATGATCTCAGGGTCGTGAGATCGAGCCCCATGCCAGGCTCTGCATTTAGGGCAGGGTATGCTTGAGATTCTCTCTCTCTCTGCCCCTCCCACTTGTGTGTTCTCTCTCTCTCTAAAATAAATAAATCTTTAAAAAAAATAGCTGCTCACTAGATGTGCAATAAAGGATGGGGAGGGGGAGCAGGAGCAAATAGGTACTGCCCCATGAAGAGAACAGAAAACTGCCCAACTACATGTGAAATAGGATGTGGGTTATATAACAGGATTATATAT